GTACTGTGGCCCCCCCTAGCTCCCCCCTTGCCATGGCTAAGGGCAAATGGGTGGAGTTGCTCTTAATGTTACGACACTAAAACGAGTGTAGTCCCCTTGTTAAAGGGTTTGGGCTTTGGAGCTGGTGGCTTGTGGGCTACAAAAAACCAAAACCCAAAACACACATTTCCTCGTGCTTTGATCACCGTTGGATTGGACTCAGATGCAAGCTTACAGTTGCAGTGTCGTCGACGGTAACACCAAACCCAGATTCAACAAAATTCACGAAGAAGAAGAAGACTGAGCAAAAAAATGGCGGAGGGGAAGAGCGAAAGCAGCAGTAGCTCAATGGAGAGCCTGGATCATCTGCCCTCGGCCCTACTCGCCACCATCATGACAAATCTCGACGTGGCCTCCATCTGCTCCGTCGCTTCCACCTGCACCGCCTTCAAAGCCTGCGCTTCTCAAATCCTCTCCTTCATCCCCTCCTTCCACCTCCTCGTAAGTCTTTCAATTTTCATTTCTGGGTTTTCACAAAAGATTGTAAATTGGTTTGTTTTTGTTTGCTATTTTCTCAAAAATGGTTACTTTTTGCTTTGGGGGTTAGGAAATCGCGCCTTCCATGGATTTGTTGAGGCCTCTGCTGCCTCCTAACCCGTGGCTAAAGAGCATGAAGGTCAACTGTGGCCGGCTAGACGATTCGGCCATACAGATTTTGCTTCAGCCTTCTCTACACGAGCTTTGTATGCTCAATTGCGACGAATTTACTGGAAAGTTGCTTTCGGAGATCGGAGGCCGATGCAAGGATCTAAGGTTGGTTTGGTTTGGTTCTGGTGCTTATATGTATTGCTGGTGTTTTTTGATTGTGGAAAGTGAAAAAGCTGTTGTTATTGGCTTTTGGGTATATGAATTCCCTTCAGGTCTCTCTGCTTGGGGTCAGTGGCTGAAAATAGAGGGCTGGATATTCAGTTTTCTGATTTGGAGGATTTGCTCAGAGGTTGCCATGAGTTAGAAGTAAGGCTCAGTTAAATGATGATAATAACCAAATGTTTAATAATAAGGATTTTAAGTAACGTGGTGCTGGTTGTTAAATAATGATACACGAACAAATGTTTCACCCTTTCATATTTCACGTAGCTGAAGTTCTGATTCTTCTGCTCAAATAAGTTAAGAACATCGTTACCTTTTTTTGAAGATACAAAAGATGCTAAGTTTGTACCTAATGGGGTGTCAAATGTTGAGTTTGTTAATATGATTTCATCCTCCTTGGTCCTCTGGATGAATAATTGAATGGTTTGTTATACTTAAGTTTCCCTAGAAATGATGAGGCGGAAAACTCGTGTGCACTTTAACATTAGATGCTTAATATATGTTTCCTTAATTGAAATTTACCCATAAAGCATTTTGGTTTTGGGATATCATAATTATTTGATATGTTTCATCTAATGCGTGTGTGATAATTTTTGGTAGGCACTGAACTTGATGTTTGATGTCTCATTTTCTGCTGGTCATAACAATTCTCGAGTTTGGGCTTTGGCTTCGGAGAAACTCACTTCTCTTGAGATTGGCTACATTCCATCAGTAATGGTGGCTGAACTGTTTAGCCCAAACTTTGGATTCCATCAGTCACTAAATTGTATTCAGCCTTCCATATTGCCAAACATCCATAAATTGTGTCTTTCAGTCGACTATATAACTGATGCTATGGTTGGAAAAATTTCTAAAGGTCTCAACTCCCTGACCCATTTGGATCTTCGAGATGCACCCATGAGCGAACCAGGAGTTACATCAGACCTCACAAACTCTGGCCTTCAACAGATTAATCAGCATGGCAAACTGAAGCATCTCTCATTGGTCCGGACCCAGGAGTTCCTCTCTACCTATTTTAGAAGAGTAAATGATCTCGGGCTCCTCTTAATGGCTGACAAGTGTAAAACCATGGAAAGCATATTTCTAGGCGGCTTTTGTCGTGTTACTGACACAGGTTTCAAAACAATCTTGCATTCTTGCTCCAAGTTATACAAGCTTAGGGTGTCTCATGGGACTCAGTTAACGGATTTAGTTTTTCATGACATTTCTGCAACTTCCCTGTCTTTAACACACGTTAGCTTGAGACGGTGTACTCTTTTGACCAACCATGCAGTTACTAGTTTGGCTTCTAATAAGGATCTAAAAGTTCTTGATTTGAGAGATTGCAGAAACCTCGGGGATGAAGCCCTCCATGCCATAAGCACTCTTCCTAAATTGAAGGCGTTATTATTGGATGGCTCTGATATTAGTGATGTAGGATTATCATATTTGAGAGCGGGGGTTATAAGTTCACTAATTTCATTGTCTGTTAGAGGGTGCAAGAAACTTACAGATAAATGCATATCTGCTCTATTTGATGGCTCTTCTAATTTGGAGTTGCAAGAACTGGACCTGTCCAATCTTCCTAATCTCTCCGACAATGCAGTTCTATTACTGGCAAAAAGTAGGGTTCCAATACTTGAACTACGAATGCGACAATGCCCACTAATAGGTGACACTTCGGTAATGGCATTAGCCTCAATGGTGGTTGACGAGGAGAGGTGGCATGGTAACAGCCTGCGGTTGTTGGATCTGTTTAATTGTGGTGGCATTACTCCGCTTTCATTCCGGTGGCTGAAGAAACCATATTTTCCAAGGCTGAGATGGTTAGGAGTTACAGGCAGTGTAAATAGAGATATGGTAGATGCTTTAGCTCGAAGCAGACCGTTCTTGCGTGTGTCACGACGTGGCGAGGAGCTGGGAGTCGAGGAATGGGATAATTCAGATGATTTTTACATGCATGACTATGATGAGATGGACGAGTTTGAACGTTGGCTTCTAGACGGTGAGGATGAGAATGCCGACGAAGAAATGGTAAATGCAGAAGCAATGGAGTAATCCGCCGTTTAAATTCCTGCTATGTGCCTGTATGCAATATGCTTGTGATTTTCTTGTGTATATTGTTGTGTTATGAAGAAACTTGAAATGTATCATGGACCACTGATTAGAGCTTAGCAAGTTGGGTTGTATGATTTTACTCTAAATCTGTGATCTTGTGGACCACTTGGATATTGTATTGTAACTATTTTGGATAGATTGGATATTGTATTTTCACTTAATTGTATAATAAATTTGTTTCACCATTTATCACTTGCTTTTTATACGATTCATTGCCAATGCTTTAGAGGTTTTGTCGGTGGACTCTTTTCGTAGAGGTATATCCAAGACCTAAGTTACCTCTTTTCGTAGAGGTATATCCAAGACCTAAGTTTGATGCCTCTAGTGGTGGGTAGCCCACAGAAAGTAACGGTGTCTAGCTTTTGAGACATAATCCACTTCCTTATCTATGTGTAATGATTTACAATAAGACTGGTTGATCTGTTGAGTTTGGATAAGTCAGCAAGCACATTGGTAGGTAATTGAAATATGCTGATTTCTTAGATATTTCAATTATTCCAACACATACGGAAGCAAAAAGTATGTGAGTTTCACATTATATCCCATAATCCAATGAATCTCCCATATTATTCACTTTCGGCTTTATGACTTCTCTTATTTGAAATAAGCAAGCATATCATAAAAGCTCGTATTCCATAATCTAGTCTCTCTCGTATTATTGACTTTCGGCTTTATGACTTCTCTCATTTGAAGTAAGTAGGCATACCATAAAAGTTCGTGAATGTTTTACTTTTCTCTTTCTAGAAGTGAGCTGCTTTTAATTTTTTTTAACAAATGAAATAATTAAGTTTGTACATTTATACACCCTCCACATTTTTCCTTCCAATTAGTTAAGTGCTATATCACATCTATAAATTCTAGAATTCAAATAAAATGAAAAATGAAAAATAAAATGGACTCACAATGGCTTCGACTATTCCTGACTCATGTATTTCTTGGGCTTAAGCCCAAAAAAAAAAAATCTTTTTTCTACAAGAAAGTCATATCCGAGTGTTATGTTTATATTTTATTTTGGTATAGTGACCCATTTATTTTACACATTTAAAATGAGACAACTTACCAGGAGAAAATTTAAATACCAAAGAGAGACTTTGAAATATATGGCGGTCTGATCCCATTTTTCTTAGCTGAAGGATTATAAAATATTTATCATGTGTGCCTTAAAATGGCAACTTCTAAGTAAATAAATCAATCAGGAATGAGTCTTTGGAACATGCATGCCTCATCATTCTAAACGAGTGAAAAATCCTCTCTTTCTCGACCCATAATTTTTTCCATGATCATTTCATTTTTTACCAAAAGAAGAAAATGGTTGTGTTCGAACTTTTTCACAAATATAAATATAAAATGTTCCACCATTAAAATTATCAACTCCACTCATTTACGCTTTTAAGCCGACAATACTTGTCTCGTTTCTACTCTATTCTTTCTCTTTTTTCTTTTGTTTAACTTTTAATACCAACGTATACTACTGAATCGGACATATATATGCATGATTGGATAAGGAGTGTGACAAGAATGGTTTTTATTATTATTATTTTTTTATATTTTTTTTTTGTTCTTTGTTAATGTCCTTTATTGATATATCAATTCTTGAAATTAGGTAACACCAATGTAACTTGTTGCATTAATTTTTGCAATTTTTATGTGGAATGCACCAAATCTTGCAACAATAGGAAAAAGAAAAGGGTGAAGGAAGGGTTGGCTTCAAAGAGGAAAAATGTCCTCATTCAATGAACAGTGATACATTTGTCTAGGTTCATTGAATGTGCCAACTCCTCTAATTTTGCAACTAGTCATTAAGAACGTAATTAATCACAGAATTAATATAATGTTCTTTGAATTTTTGTTTTGTTTTGTTTTGCTTCTTTTGTTTTCAATTGTCTTCCACCGTAAACCCTAATCTTGTGCAGGAAAAAAATTTGAAATATATATATATATATATATATCTCTTATACAATTCAAATAATAATTATTAAACAACATTAGATGCGTCTATATATATGAAATACGAATTTACCACATAATTTAACACGTTATATTCACGAATTATCAAAATAGACCGATTCATCAATTGGGAAATACAAGTTGGGAGTGATGATCACGGCTTATCGGATTTGGACTTTTGTTTCATTTTTAATCTATTATTTTGTTCATATAAACTTCTTGAAGCACAAGCTTTCAATCAACTATTGATACCGACAGTGACTATAATCCCTGATATGAATTCGTGTTCAATACAGACACTTTTCTAACTGCTAAATTGATCCACTTGTCAATAGCAACTTTGTTACTCATCACTGAATTTGTTTGTATTGAGATTGACTATCAAAGTCTAACAAACATTTTTATTTTTATTTTTTGAGGCCCTCTTTTTATTAAGAGGAAGGATAATAATAATATCTAGGTTGCAAATTCTAACAACACATATTCATAATGCATGTGACTGATTTCAAAAGTGGACCATAACAATTTGTCATTGAGGTGCAATGGTCCTGTATAATCTTATCCACACCTCCATGAGTGAAAGTTGGACAGCTCCTTCAAGGACATCTTGGACCCACACCAACCAACCCTAACTCAATTATGAGTTTATTTTAGTATCATGCCATTCTCTCTGGACCAGCAATAAAATATCTTTTGAGGTATGCTACGATCAGTCATTCATTCGTGTAAGTGGAGTTAAAGAAAATCCAATTCAACCGTTGATGTAGTAAGCATAAATTATCCAGTCGACTATGTCATTCTTGATCATTGATGTACGTGGCCCCTAAATTCAAATTCAATTGGGGTAGTAGTTTCACTCTTGAACAACTAATGTTATCAGAAGTCTAACAAATTTAATTTCCACTAACAAATTTGCCCTAATTCTCATCAACTCCCAATGAAAGTCCTCAATGATGAGTTTATTTTAGGGTTATGCCTTTCTTTATGGACAAGCAGTAAAATAGATTTTGAGGTATGCTATGATTAGCGTGAAGTTGAACAAATACCAATTCAACCGTTGATATATTGTGAATAAATTCTCCACTGTATTATGTGATTTTTGACCGTTGATGTAAGTGCTCATCAACAACTGACGTTATCAAAATTCGAAATTTTTAAATTTTCCAATTGCACATTTTGCCCTTCTTCATCAACCCCCAAGATCAATGAAAATATCCATTTACGGTCATGTATATAGTAGACATTAGACAAACACCAAACAGGCAAAAACAAAGCTGGATTTGGATAAGATTTAATAAGTAATATTTTATTAATCTTACCTATAAACATGGTTTGGAGTGTTGGACTTTGGACTCGGAAGACTCGCACTTTGCTGGTTCCCACCTTCTATTCCATCGCCGACCGCTCGCCGCTTCGCTGGCACCGGTACCCTCAATCCTCATCCTCTTTTTTACTCGTTGCCCCTTCACCGCATCCAAAGGTCGCTTTTCCCCCTCCCCCAATCACATCCCTCCACGTGTCTCCTCCACGTGGCTCATAGAGGATCAGCTCCCATGCTGCTGGATCCACCAAACCCCAACCCGGCGGCTTATTCCCTTTGTGGGGATGCGGATCCTCTACTCGCTCCTGTAGGTCAACAGCTTCCTCGTGCCCTCCCCGTGCTCCACGTGGTGGTACGATGCCGGGTTTCCTCATCCCACGTGATTGTTTAATTCCAGTCTAATCTTAATTAGGGAGGATAATATTTTTTAATTTTTGAGTATCTTCTTGATCTAGGAACGTATTGTTTGTTTATTCATTTAAATCAAATGTATTTTCATGCAGTTGTTACTTACAAATTGACTCTTGAAATTTTCAACATGGCTGGCCATGTCATCATGTCCAGCTAGCCTAATTACATCATGTTTTCTGGTCATTTGGTTGAATTAATATTTTATTTCAACCCTAATCCCCAGTTTGCATGTTTAGCTTATGGGATTATGGGCTATCAACTTGGAGACTATAAAAAAACAACTAGGGTTTAACTCTTCAACCACGACTTGTACCATACAATGGTGCTTCCCTCTTCTTTCTAGACAATAGTACCCTAGGCTCGTGCTAGTTCATTGGTACTACATAAATATTTTATTTCACCTGAATAAGTGACGAGTCATCATACATGACTTTATTTGATAGCATATTCGATGGAAGTATTAGGGATATGCTAGTAGGGTAGATTGACTAGTTTGTATAATTTATGAGGGAAATTAACATTATCGATATAGTTCATAAGGAAAAACGGATGATTACCCGTGAAAAATATTATGTAATGCATTGAGAAAGGGGAAATCTTAGTTGTTGTATGCAACACGGAGTCGTGGTGGAAGCGAGTCTTCATAGAACAATTTTCACTATTTATGGACTCGAACCTGGGTGATTAACTGGAGGTCCGAACCGAATGTTGAAGAATTAACGGATGAGTTGTGGTTAAGGAAACATAATTTAGGGTAAATAAATAAGAGATTTTCTATTTAAACCTCACACTTCTTTTAGTTCACCTTAATACTAAAATCATTAAATTGTAAGTTTTATTATTGTGTAAAAAGATAAAAAAAAATATCATCCAACTTAATACTTAACCCTAGTACTTCTATACACACACACCCCACCACCACTCTTCATATTAAGTTTAAAAAAAATACAAACTCCTCTATATCGTATTGCAAGAGACGTAGAACATTGACGAGCATGCCTCTTTAAAATCTGCATGAGAGCTAATGGAAATACTTGTTGATTGTTTGGCTGTAATGATTTTATTCTCTTCCCTTTGTTGATTGCTTTTGTTTGTTATTTTTTTTTATACCTGATGTTTTGGTAAAAGCTGTTCTATTTCTCTAGAAAGTATTAAATTTCGGATTTTGGGTTCCATTTGTTTGTGTATTTTTTATGCTGGGAACAATAATATTATTGTCACTTATGGAATTCCAGTGTGCATCTAAAATCATAATCTTGTTGTTGTTGCTTCAATAGTTGGGTTATTTTTCTTGTTGCTTTTCCACTATGATAAAAGCTTCAATGTATTCTCCATTGATTGATTGTCGATCAGATGGCCCACTCCTAGTGTAAGGTGTAGCAACCGCAATGTATTTCTTTTATTTCTTATTTTTTTCAGCTTGGGTGTATTTAAGGATAATTTGGAAAGATAGTGGGGTATTCTTAGAAATTGTGAAATTTTAAATTAAAGGTTGAGATGAACTTAGAA